ACTGTCATTTTATTCATCCGTCACTAGCCTCACATTACTCTATGTTATTCTAGCATTTGCTGTTCTTTCAACTCCATTGTGCCATACCAATTATGTATGCATAAGTGTTAATCATCCTCCTAAGCATTCCACAAATATGCCTTATTTGTGCTCGGGGCAACCATCGTTAAGATTAATGTATACTCTGTATTGACGTAACCTGTATATAGAAAAAGTCGGTTGATGTGTGCCGGAACCAATGTATGTGCCGGAACCAATGTATGTGGTAGGCCGGATAAATAAAGTGGGCCCACTTAAGTATAATAAATAGAGGGAAAGAAGAAAAAAAATACAATTAAGATTAAAGGGAGTGGAGGGTTTGGCATGCAGATCATCGGGCCTATTACGGTAGGGCAGGTAAGGGAGGAGTCCCTTTTATAGGTCCCACATGCCCCTCCCACAACTCCAGGCCAAGCCTTTACATTTGTGCTTGGGGTAACCATCATTAAGATTAATGTATACTCTGTATTGACGTAACCTGTACAGAGGAAAAGTCGGTTGATGTGTGCTGGAACCGACGTATGCGTTAGGCCGGATGAATAAAGTAGGCAAAAACAGAAGTATCATGCCAAAGAATATTTTTTAATACACAGAAACATAATGCAATGAATATACCTCAAGATGACATTTTCTCAAAAGCCCTCCGTATTTCTTGAACAGGTTGAGGTATATATACAGAGAACTTGGAGGACTTCCATCGACCTAATGATTTAATAACATGGACGGTTATGTCCTGGCTGAAGGCCATAGATGCAGCCCCTATCCTGAAGAAGTGTCCTGAATATCTACAAGAATTCACACCCAGTCCAGTTAGTAACACTCGTATGTACATCATGAATTTTGAAGTGGTCAGGACGGCCCCGTGGAGTGACAGAACAGGTGTGTCTGATTGTGTTGGTAGTGTGCAAAGATAGGCATCTAGGACCTTTACCGGGCACCATTTATTTTGCATAGGGTAATATGCGATCCGAACTGGATGACCCAGTTGGCTTGTTTTAGTAATTGCTAATGATAGTACATAATGATCTTGGTGTTTTAGCCGATAGGAGCGTTTTAGGAATTCTTTGGGGTTATATTTATTAGGGATGGTGAATTCTCAGGGTCTAAGGAACCCATAATAAGACAGGTAAATTGCTGTTTTAATAAGTGCATTAGTGATAGGCTCAAAAGGGGCTTCGTCTAGCAAATCTGACATATCTTTAAATAACTGTTTATGAATGGTTAATCTATGGTGTGGGGTAGGACTGCTGGCTTTGTATATGCCTTTTAGTATATAACTGGATATGAAGAAAGAAAACTGGGGTTGTCTGGGAATAATAAATACATGTGATGTTAAATGCCGGTTAAAGGGACACTATAGTCACCTGAACAACTTTAGCTTAATGGAGCAGTTTTGGTGTATAGAACATGCCCCTGCAGCCTCATTGCTGAATCCTCTGCCATTTAGGAGTTAAATCCCTTTGTTTATGAACCCTAGTCACACCTCCCTGCATGTGACTTGCACAGCCTTCCATAAACACTTCCTGTAAAGAGAGCCCTGTTACAAACTGCTATTTGTAACTAGCCCTTTAAATGATAAATTGCCCTGCTTCACTGGGTTGTGGAGAAGCCTATTTGCCAGCCTCCTTCCTCATGACTATGGCGCCTGGGAGATTGTGCCCCTGAAAACTTATGGACTTTTATTGGGTGTGTATGGCCCTTTAAGAACCGTCTGGGGACATATTGTGACTTTGTTGAACAATGCCCCTTTAAGACAGTGTCCACAAACCTTTAATATACTGTGTCCTGGCTTTCTCCCACTTGGTTCAGTAAATGGGGCTTACTGAACCAAGTACCACACAGGCGGACGACCCAGAAGCGGAAGTGTGCAGGCAATTTACCTCCCAGGCTGTGAGGTTACTGCAGGTTAATTGCCAACCGCTGGGTGGCCGCAGTTTGTGCAAACGAACATGTGGCGGTGGCCTTCTTTGTTCATTCGAACGAGGTCAGCAGTATGTGTAACCAAATACGCACATTTGAATGGGACTTAGTAATTTTTCTGCATGAAATTGACCGACCGCACAGCCCAAATCTATGGAACTGTTTTGGGCAGGAAAATGTGCTTGCAGTCTGTCATGGATGTATGGTTTTAAAGTTACAGGGTATGTGTAAAAACTGTATTTTTACTGTCTGTGATAATTATGTTAACCCATTGTGTAACATAATTATATCACAGGCAGAGGGGAGGATTTTGTGTGTAATTGCTGGGAGAGTTTTCGGTAATGTACGTGTATGATTGGTTGTTTTGTCCTATCTTGCTACCAAAGATGTAATGTCAAACATTTTATCCAGTGTATGTTCTAACAGAATTTTTTTTGTATAATGAAAAAGCCCTACTGTAGGATCGGCAAATATTTGACGAAAGGGCCAAGCTAGTTAAGACTAGACTATGATTCATTAACTCCTTCAATCCATGACTAGTTCCTAGAATGGGAGAGGGCGACTTTGGCTACACGTGAGGCAGTGGGTAGAGTTCTCCTGAATGCCTGAAATATAAAGCGGGACAATTGGTCAGCTGCTGTATTGAAAAAAACATGAAAATAAACCAGATAAAAATTATTGCAGGCAGCTAACCAAGTTAGTGTCCTAATGAACCTCATAATAGTCAGGGAGGATGAATGCCCTTTGTTTATGATATGACATGTAGCTAGGTTGTCGGAAAGACAACAACTGTGGTAGAAACATGCTCCTTCCATTCCAGTGTAACAGGAATTTGCGCCACATGAGTAGATCAGCAGTAGCCTGAGGATCGAGGGGGATACGACTATGATTGTTGGCAAATTCGGGAAGTAGGCTAAGGAGTCTAGCGATAAAGGCTCTCCCTTGCGGGATAATCCTTATGGCAAAATCAAGGGAACCTAACAGAGATTGTAACTCCTTGCGGTTGCAGGTACCCACTTGCATGTATTAGTTGATAATCTGTAGGATATTATCAATCTTCCCTAATGGGAGATTGGCTTCCATGGCCACAGAATCAAGGTGTATAACCAGGAAACTAATCAAGGTGTCCGGACCTTCAGTCTTTTTGAGAGAGACTGGAACACCTAGAGAATGAAATAACTGAATGGCTTTGGTCAAATCATTTGGGGGAGAGTAATTATTTTCGATAAACAGAAAATCATCCAGATAGTGAATAACTGAATGGCATCTGCACGAGTTCAACAGAAGCCAACACAAGGTCTCATCGAACGTGTTGAAAATTTTTGGGCTGCTCTTCGAACCGAAGGTGAGTCTTGTAAAGAAAAAGTACAGACCTTTCAATTTAATACCATGCAGATGCCACAGGGATGGTTGAATTGGTAGTAATTTGAAGGCGCTAACAATGTCTGTTTTACTGAGCCAGGCTCCAACCCCTGCTGTAATAATGGTGTTAATTGCATTATCTAATGTGACATACTGTAGTGAAAACTCCTCCGATGGAATTAAGGAGTTAAGGCTAGGGATTCCTGAAGAGTGAGGTGCGGAGAGATCAATGATCAATCTATTTTTGGCTGTGGACTTCCCAGTAACTAAACCTATTGACTTCCTGGTTCAGCCCACCCACCGCTCCCTTTATTGAGCATTCACTTAGTGGGCCCTCTTTTAGAGGCCTACCCGAACGTCGGTTTCGGCACACCAAAACCAACTTGTACCACCATTACTATAACTCGGCTTATTGTCCCCGACTACAAATATAAATATATATATATATATATATATATACCATAGACCTATGACACCAAGAGTAACAGTAGCTAAAGGAAAGTATTTATTTATTGTTCTAAATGTTACACAATTATCGTTGCATAATTATTACATGTTGTGATCATTTTGTTCAGGAATTTTATTACAGATCATATCAGCAACTAGTATTTTTTCCCACATAATCGATTAGAATACCTAATATTATATAGCATTTTTTTAAAATCAAGATGAAAAGTATATATAGATCAGATACATGTTATTGTTGTTATTAAGGTTCCCTGATTGCTTTAATTAAATCATTAAAGTTAGTATCAGGCCACACTCACAACAAAACGTCAAGTATTGTTTTTGGTAGACATATGCAATTTGTTTAGTTCCGAATTTGAATTAGGTTGAATTTCGGTCAATTCGGACATTCAGATGCTTCCGAATGTCCGAATTGGCAAATTTCAGAAATACCGAACAGAATTGCCGAAGTGTTGAAGTGCTGAATTTCGGAAGTGCCGAAGTGCTTCGGATTTCTGAAAAGTGGCAAAAAAAGAGATGGAGGGAAAATTATGTGAATGATGACAGGAGCAGGGTTAGGCTTAGGAAGCCCTACAGATTTGCCCGAATTGCCGAAGTCCCGGATCAAACCAAAGTGCTGAATTGTCGATTTGCCGAAGTGCCACATTTTTTATCCGAATTTCGGAAACAAAACTGAACCAAAATTTTTGCCCATGCACATCCCTAGTTTTTGGCACAGTGCCACTAAAAGGTTGCCCACCACCCCTACACAAAAGATTAAATATAGATTTACAGAGAGAAACAGATTAGGGGCAATAGGAAAATGTTTGAGAATTTGAGGAAAGGAAGCCGAACAGCGACAAGTGGGATGAGGGGTGATGTGGAGAATAGACATGATTAGGGTGACAGACATCTCAAGTATTCAAGCATGGTGTCAAGCTTTGGGTTCTGCCTTGAGGGAGTATTTTTCACACTTTGCTTTGCGCTAAAGAACCAGATAATTGTGGAACCTTGCCAGACACCTGGTTGTAAACATTTATTACCATTATAAACATTAAGCATTATCTAAAGTTTTTTTACTGTTATTTTCTTGAAATAAAGTGTTTTATTAACTCATCTATGGAAACCACAGTCATAATAATATATCTAAAAAATAATGAACAGAAACTGTTACATTATCTCAAGTCTGTGAGCCCTTCTGCTAGGTTTTTGTTCAGCTGTGTATCACAGTGGTATCCTGCATTCGCATAATATTTAAAACAATAAATAAAACCAGTATCCGAGGTGTCTGTGTTTTTGATAATCAGTTGATACTGTGTCCCAGCACTGTTTATAGTGCAGCCATAATGTGCTGATGACATTCCAGGTCCAAATTTAGGTTCTGTGTATGAATGGTGATGATATAGCAAAAGCTGTGGAGCCTCTCCTGGTGACTGTCGATAGAAAGCTGTAACATAACCATCTTTAATTCCAACATCACAGTTAAATGTTGTAATTTGTTCTTTATTCACTGAAAGAGTAGTTGGTGTTAGCAGCGGAGGCTGAGAGTCAACATCTGTGAAAAAATATATTTGATTTAATAATGTGTCACAATAAGCAATATGATTTAATTAAAAGGGTGTAGAGAGTATCAAAAAATACATACAGGATATCGATGCTAAGACACATGTGATCATGAGTAGATCCATTTTCTCAGAATGTGTTTGAATATCCTTTCAAGTTAAGAAAAAGCTGTTTAGCGTCTTCCTAAATAGTATCAGGTCATCTCTTGGGATTTATATGTAAATCCTTTAGAGAAGCACACAGTCACAAACACCTTGTAAGCATTACGCGCAACAAAATCTCCATAATTCAAATCTGCTGAGGGTATAAATTACATATTATTTGATCTTTCTTCCAGTTAGAGTAAAGAGCAACAGTTCAGAAGACACTATATTCTGAGACTTTTCATAAAGAAACATCATTTTAACCCCTTAAGGATGGCAGGCATTCTATGCTGTCCTTAAGGAGCTGGTCCAATACATTGGCGGACGGCACAGAATGTCCTAGCCATGTATGCCGCCATTTGCCTGCTGGAGGTCGCTGTCATTGAACCTGTCACTGAGAGAACTGTTACAATGTGTCAGCCAATGATTTGTTACATTGACTGACACATTCACTTTGATCTGAGAGAGAGAGGCAGAGAGATCTGTGACTGTTACTGTGTAAAAAGTTACAAAAGCTTTTTTAAAAATAATTATATTTTTGCCCTTTCATTATCACTGTTATCTGACTGAGTTAGGCATTTAGTACTTTTGCATTAATCTTAATTTCCTTTTTAGGGTCAATGTTTTTTTTTTTTTAGCCGCAGCAATCTAAAATCTCTTAACCCCTTCCCTGATATACAGCACCATATCGGTGATAACTGTGATCAGAGGGCTCTCTGATCAGTCTGACTTTTTTGAAGGAATTATGTTAATAAAAAAATAACCCTTTTTCGTACCAGTCGCAGCTGTCTAAACTTATCAATAATTTTATTTTAATGTTGTGGATTTTTGGGGAGGAAGTGTGATTTGGAGGGTTGGTGTGGGTAGTGGTTGTTAGGTAGGTAGGAAATAGAGTAATTACCACATTAGCTTTTAGAGTAATCAGTTTTCCTAGAATGGCATGTCGTTATTCAGCAGAGGAGGCATATGCCATTCTGGCTGGCAGTGATAGTGACACTCTGCAAGACTCTGACATTAAGCCCATGAGTGAGTCCTTAAGTGATGGTGCTCCACCACCACCTACAAGAGGTTGCTCAGAAAGCCCAATGCCAGAAGAAAACTGGGTGCCCCCAAAAATGATGGCCCCTGAAATACCTGACATCACATTTACGCCTGACATCACAGCAATAGTGTAGGACTTTAAACTCTGTATGTCGGATGACGTATTTAATCTTATGGTTCAGCAAACAAATTTGCTTGCCAGGCAATACCTCTCTGCAAATCCGGCGTCACAAAATAAAAAATAAAATGTGGCAACCAACGGATGTTGCAGAGATTAAGTGGTTTAAACCCTAGTGATGGGTATTGACAAAAAGCCCAGTATCAGGTCCTACTGGCACAAGCACCACATTCAGGCTACCACTCTTTTATCCCTGAGGTTATGAAGAAGGATCGCTACCTTCAACTGCTACGACTCCTTCATTTTAATGACAACGCATAGAAACAACCCACTGTTTGACAGGCTCTATAAAATTTGTCCCTCTATCCAACTCTCGTCAGACAACTGTGCCCATACCAACCCAACAACCGGGAGGCTTTTTAATGGCGGTCTTTGGACACCGTGCCCTGTGGCAGGACATTGGGACTCTGTGGGCCTCCTAGGTACACTACAAGGACTCTCCCCACGAGGAATAGGCTGATGGGTTTTTTTTTCATTGCCTCAGCTGGCGGTGACCCCAGTCTTTCATGCTATACAACAATTATGGTACACACCATTGTAATCGACCACTGATAGCCTCATCAGATGTTGCTTTAGTTGCATTTATTTATTAGCATGCACCTTTTATGTTAAAGTTATTTTCCTGCCTACTGACAGTAATACTTTAATACTTCCTCACTATAGCCCAGTATGCTATATTCTACTTGGGGTTATTTACTCTTAGATAAGACACTGCTGCACTTCTGCTTACTCCTACTTGCAAGCCACTATGTCTCTAATCTAAATACTCACATGCTAACCAGTCTTCTTTACCTACAACCCGATATCTGAATGATCTGGTTCTTTTGTTATGTTAATTTGTGAGTCATAACACTGGTATATTGCATGAACTAATGAGTAGAGGGCGTTAACAGCAGTAGCAATGTTAAATAGTTACATAGTTACATAGCTGAAAAGAGACTTGTGTCTGTGACAGAACCATCTGTCTGCTTGTATTTGGGGTGTATTCGTCTGTTTGTATCCCGTTCGTATGAATGGCTGTTTTCTATAGCCCAGCCATTCGAATGACTTTTTTTTCCCGAACAAACCTGCCGAACGGACGGCCACCCAGGAGAGAAGTGTGCTGCTGGTTAACCTATTGATCCCAATTAGAACGTTGTGGTTACCACAGACACTTCTCAATTAAACCGAATGCAGGGTGGTCGTCGTTCGTATGTCGACCACGAGGCAGCGGCCATTTTAAACCACGCGAAAGCCCAGCGGTGTTTGGCTCTATTTCTATGGAACTAAAAACGGACACTTTTTCTGCCGAACACCGCTGAAACAACGGAACGCCTGGCTGTCTCCACGAAAGCATACGAATACCGGCCGTTCGGGAGGTTTGGAGCATACGAAAAGACTTAACCCAGATAGCCTTCCCATGGAGTCATTCGTATACCGAAAGACTGTAAGAACTTTGACTCCATGGCGATTGAACTATGTGTGTGGGATCTGAGCGCTATTCGCTAATAATATGCACTCAGATCCAGGCTATCTGGGGATATGTGATACGAATGGGAAATGTTCGGTTATTTTAAAGTTATGCCTTTTTATGTCTTTTGTGATTTTATATTTAAGATGGCGACTGGCTTTGTCCTGGAGATAATTGAGTTACTTGGTAATTATCTCCAGGGCAGAGGGGAGGGAATCATAATGCACTGTGGGTAAAATATGTGACTGTGTGTCTGGAATGTCCCCATATCTGTCTGTCATTTAAGTCTCCCATTTGGTCCCCTAGGGGAATGTCCACCAAGTGGGAGACCTGCATAAATATGGGCAGGTAGCCCACAGTAAAGCCAGATCCTGTTTGACCCTCAAATCGGAGCTTCTGTCTCGTTATTGGGGGGATTTCTTCTTCACGTTTAGAGACTGCTGGATGGAACAGAAGCCGCTTGGTGAATATTGTTGTTCGGCGGCTAGCAGCAGTTCGTGTATTGCCGTTCGGGAGTTTGGAGCCGTTCACGGATCCCGGTCGGGAGATTGCCGCTTCCCCTGCATTTGGTTTGTGCACTACAGGCTAGGCGAACGGAGTTACTGATATTGCAGCCGGGGTAGGTCTACTAAACGGCGGTTTTGCCTAAAGACACTGGAGGTGTTTTAACAGTGTCCATCAAGTTCAGCCTTCCTCACATTTGTTTTTTTGCTGTTGATCCAAAAGAAGGCAAAAAAACCAGTTTGAAGTACAATTTTGTAACAAGCTAGGAAAAAATTCCTTCTTGACCCCAGAATGGCAGTCAGATTTATCCTTGGATCAAGCAGTTATTACCCTACATTGAAAGATTATATCCTTGAACATTCTGTTTTTGCAAGTATGCATCTAGTAGCTGTTTGAACATCTGTATGGACTCTGATAAAACCACTTTTTCAGGCAGAGAATTCCACATCCTGATTGTTCTTACAGTAAAAAAACCTTTCCTTTGCCTTAGACGAAATCTTCTTTCTTCCAGTCTAAACGCATGGCCTCATGTCCTATGTAAAGTCCGGTTTGTGAATAGATTTCCACACAATGGTTTGTATTGGCCCCGAATATATTTGTATAATGTTATCATATCCCCTAAATTTAAAATTTGTTAACCTTTCTTCATAGCTGATATGTTCCATTCCTTTTATTAATTTTGTAGCCCGCCTCTGCACTTTTTCTAGTGCCATAATATCCTTCTTTAGAACAGGTGCCCAAAATTGCACAGCATATTCAATATGGGGTCATACCAGTGATTTATAAAGAGGCAAAATTATATTCTTGTCCCGAGAATGAATGCCCTTTTTCATGCATGACAATACCTTACTGACCTTGGCCACTGCTGATTGACATTGCACATTGTTGCATAGTTTGTTGTCTATAACAATTCCCAAGTCCTTTTCATGTGTTGTTATCCCTAATTCACTTCCATTAAGGGTATACGTTGCTTGTGTATTCTTTACGCCGAAGTGCATAACTTTGCATTTTTCAACATTAAATTTCATCTGCCATTTGAGTGCCCAGTCCTCCAGTCTATCTAAATCCCTCTGCAGCAAAGTAATATCTTGCTCACATTGTATTATTATACAAAGTTTTGTGTCATCTGCAAACACTGAAACATGACTTTCAATGCGGTCTTCAAGATCATTTATAAACATGTTAAATAGAAGGGGTCCCAGAACAGACCCCTGAGGGACACCAATTACCACCTCTGTCCAGCTTGAAAATTTACCATTAACGAGAACTCTTTGTACTCTGTTTTTAAGCCAATGTTGTACCCAAGAACAAGCATTTTCATCTAGACCGATTTCATTGAGTTTGAACACTAATCTTTTGTGTGGAACTGTATCAAATGCCTTGGCAAAATCCAAATAGATCACATCCACTGCAACACCCTGATCTATACTTCTACTTACTTCTCCGTAGAATGCAATCAAGTTAGTTTGACATGACCTGTGCTTCATAAAACCGTGCTGATTTTTGCTGATAACCATGTTCTTCTCAAGGAATTCTTGAATATTATCCCTTAATAACCTTTCAAATATTTTACCAGCCACAGAAGTTAAGCTCACAGGTCTATAATTTCCAGGCAAGGATTTTGAATCCTTTTTGAATATAGGAACCACATCTGCCTTCCTCCAATCCTCCGGGAAAACACTTCCTGAAAGAAAAGAATCTTGAAAGATTAAAAACAGAGGTTCACTTATTTCTACACTTAGTTCCTTAAGTACATGTGGATGGATACCGTCAGGCCATGGAGCTTTGTTTATATTAACTTTCTTTAGTTGCTGCAGCACCTTGTCTTGAGTTAACCAATTACAATTATCAAGTTTTTAGTAGCAATCATTTGCACATCTATTGCCATGGGTTCTTCCTTAATATATACAGAGGAGAAATAGTTATTTAAAATTCCTGCCTTTTCCTGGTCTTCATTAACTAACACCCCCGTTTCAGTTTTTAGTGTACCAACACTTTCATTTTTGTTTTTTTTTAGAATTTATGTACTTAAAAAATGCTTTTGGTTTTGCTCTCTTTAGCTATAATTTTTTCATTTTGAAGTTTAGCAAGTCTAATTGCCTTTTTGCACGCATTATTTGCTTCCTTATATCTTTTATAAGATGCATCTGATTTGTCTGATTTAAATGCTTTAAATGCCCTTTTCTTATTTTTAATCTCTTTTACTTTTCTACTAAGCCACATTGGTTTTAATTTGTTTCTTTTATATTTATTTCCCAATGGTACATACTGAGAAATGTACCTTTCTAATATTTGTTGGAAGATGATCCATTTATCCTCAGTGTTCTTTTCACTAAAGAATAGTGATGTCGTCTGCCCCGCCCCCTGCTCTCGCGAGTCTGGCTGCTGACAGACATGGCAGACTCGGTGGACCTGCGGTGACCGGAGCGATGAGCCAGGGCGGCACAGAGAGCGAGCCCGAGGCCAAGGTGTTACACACCAAGAGGCTGTACCGGGCTGTAGTGGAGACTGTGCATAGGCTAGATCTCATAATCTCCAACAAAACTGCGTACCAAGAAGTCTTTAAACCTGAGAACATCAGCCTCCGCAACAAATTACGAGAACTGTGTGTAAAGCTCATGTTCTTACATCCTGTGGAGTATGGACGCAAGGCTGAAGAAGTCCTCTGGCGAAAAGTTTATTATGAAGTTATTCAGCTCATCAAGAACAACAAGAAGCACATCCATAGCCGCAGTGCCTTGGAATGCGCATATCGCACTCATCTGATTGCAGGAGTCGGGTTTTACCAGCACCTCCTGCTCTACATCCAGTCACATTACCAACTTGAGCTACAGTGCTGCATCGACTGGACCCATGTCACGGACCCTCTCATTGGCTGTAAGAAGCCAGTGTCTGCCTCTGTGAAAGAAATGGATTGGGCGCAGATGGCGTGCCACAGATGTCTTGTGTACCTAGGAGACTTGGCACGCTATCAGAACGAGTTGGCTCTGGTGGACACTGAAAAGCTGGCTGAGAGGTTTTACTACCAAGCACTAACTGTTGCACCCCAGATCGGAATGCCATTTAACCAGTTGGGCACGCTGGCGGGAAGCAAGTACTATCACGTGGAAGCTACCTACTGCTACATGCATTGTATCCAGTCTGAGGTGTCTTTTGATGGAGCTTACGGTAACCTGAAGAGACTGTACAACAAAGCGGGGAAAACCTATCATCAACTGAAGAAGTGTGAGACCAGGAAACTTGCCCCCAGCAAAAAAAGATGCAAGGATATAAAGCGATTTCTTGTGAGTTTCATGTATCTACAAAGCCTGTTGCAGCCAAAGAGTAGCTCTGTGGACTCTGAATTGACCTCCCTTTGCCAGTCGGTCCTTGAAGACTTTAACCTCTGCATGTTCTACTTGCCTTCATCTCTCAGTCTGAGCTCAGCCAACGAGGACGAGGAGGAGTATGATGGGGGATATTCCTTCCTACCTGATTTGCTGGTCTTTAGGATGGTGGCTATCTGTCTGATGAGCGTCCACAGCTTAAAGCGTGCAGATTCAAAGCAGTACAGCGCTGCCATTGCATTCACCCTTGCACTTTTCTCGCATCTGGTTAACCACGTTAACATAAGGCTGCAAGCTGAGCTGGAGGAGAGTCCCGTGCCTGCATTCCAGAACAACAGCCCAGATGACCCAGATACGAAAGAGATTTCAGAAGTTATTGAGAGAGACCCGGAAACGGAGCCAGAAATACCCGTTAACCAGGTCACCAAACAGCCAAAGCCAAAGAATGGCAAGAAAAGCCACAAGTACTCGCGCCTGTCTCGACTTCGTAGGCGAAGGCATGCTCGAAAAGTGGATGAGAGTGACTTGAGCGAAGGCTTTGACTCTGATTCCAGCCATGGCTCAGCCAAAGGTAGTGACATTTCTGAAAGTGCGTCCGAGAAGAGCGATGAAGAGGCTGCTTTTGATATGGAGACAGACTCCGATATGAACAGTCAAGAATCACGTTCTGACTTGGAGGATATTGAGGACGACAACGTGGAGGAGAATGCGTGCGCAAAGGAAGCAAAGGGCCCATCAGAAATCTCAACAGAGGAGCCAGAGTTGAAGACGGTAAACTCTGCAAAGACCGAGAGTCATGAACTCCCGGTAAATGGATCTGGAGTGGCCTCTAGTGAATCCAGTATAGCGAGCAACCTGCAGGCTATGTCTACCCAGATGTTTCAAACCAAACGCTGCTTCCGTCTGGCACCGACGTTCACCAATCTGTTTGTGAAGCCTGTGCCAGAACAGGCCCCCCCTTGCTCTGAAGAGCCGGCCCCAGTAGTGAATGGGGATGTGGAAAAGTCAGTCTCACTGGAACAAGATGCTTCGGATTCTGATGAGAGTGTCCTGAGCAGCAAATCGTGCCGTAACGAGAGAACGATCCAGGAAAGGTTGGAGGTCATCACAAGCGAGGCGCTGCTGACCAGTGTCAAAATCTTTCTGGATTGGCTGAGGGCCAACACGGATATAATTGTCATGTGTGCACAGAGCTCCCAGAGTTTGTGGAACTGAATATCAGTCCTTTTAAATCTCTTACCTGCTGCTGGAAAGATTCTCGACTCTGGGATCACACTGTGTAATGAGGTGAAAAACCTTCTCCCGGAATCAGAATTCCCAGAGATCCGGCAACACCTGTTGCTCCCTGAGGACACAGCATTGCGGAACCTCCCTCCTTTGAGAGCTGCACACAGGAAGGTCAACTTCGAGCAAGAGAGACCCGTACTCACTGTACTGGAAGAGTCCATTGTACGCAGCTGCTACATCCGAAGCTTTGGGCACTTTCTGACTCGTCTGCAAGTCAATGTCCTGCAGTATAACACTGAGCTGGGACTCTTCACCAGTATCTCTGAATACGAGCAGGACAACCTCATGCACCAGGCACAGGCACAGTTCCGAATGGCGCAGGAAGAGGCTCGGAGAAATCGGCTCATGAGGGATATGGCACAGCTCAGACTGCAGCTGGAGGTCTCGCAGTTGGAGAGAACTCTTCAGCACCCCAAATCTCAATCTGCCATGTCCCCGTACCTTGTCCCAGACACTCAGACGCTCTGCCAACATCTAGGCATCATTAGGCAGCTGGCCAACAGTGGCCGGTTCATCATCATCATCCCACGGACAGTTATAGATGGCTTGGACATCCTGAAAAAGGAGAATGCTGGGGCCCGGGATGGGATTCGATATCTGGAAACAGAGTTTACAAAGGGAAATAGGTATATTCGCTGCCAGAAAGACACGGGTAAAAGTTTTGAGAGAAATAAACTGAAGAGACAGGACACAGATGCCTGGCACCTGTACAAGATTTTGGACAGCTGCAGGCAGTTGACTGTATCACAAGGAAACAATGCAGACGACACTGCTGGGATGGTGACCATTTTAACCAGCTTTCATCTCAATGAGCCGGACTGCTTGACGGCCGCCGTGCAGTCCGCTTTGCAGGTGGCCTCAAACGCCAACATCGAAATCAAGAACGTGCTGACTTTCTACAAGCAGTGGAAGGAGATGGGCTGAACAATGGATGCTGGTCTTGGAGTTATACCTCGTGTTCCCCGTCTCAGCTGCTGCCGCTGTCGCCTTCAGAGTCCAAGATAGCAACCATTTGGAAAGAAATGTTTCATAAATTTGCTAAAATTAAAATAAAAGTATAAAGTTTAAAATGTATACACTGGCAGCATAAAGGAAACACCTATACCAGCAAGCTAATATGCCCTCTCTGCACATCTTGCATAGCGACACAGAGTGGGCTGTCGTGTTGGAGGATCTAAAAAGCATGCCTTCCGCTAGCCACTGGGCCGGAAGAGTGATATCGGCATTCATCGTTTGCTATATGACCCTAGTGTTGTCTCAAATGTGATCACAGGCCTTGGGCGTTCATCCTGCAGTAGCATAACAAATCTATCCTTTTTGTGTAACTTGTGTTAACTGAAAAGAAAAATGGTTACTCTTGACCCTTGTATCCTTGATTCCCAGTACCTGCTAGTACCCTTAATTATAAACCCTCAGCCCTGCCCTTTCTCCCTATTTCATTCCTACCCCACTTTTCTTTCTTTAAATTCTGGTCAGAGCCTTCATTTGTGAGCAAATGTTTGGAGGCTGAAAATAAAACCAACATTTTATTTGACAAAAAAAAAAAAAAAGAATAGTGATGTCGCGAACATAAAATTTTCGGTTCACGAACGGCGAACACGAACTTCCGCAAATGTTCGCGTACCGGGCGAACCGCCATAGACTTCAATGGGCAGGCGAATTTTAAAACACACAGGGACTCTTTCTGGCCACAATAGTGATGGAAAAGTTGTTTCAAAGGGACTAACACCTGGACTGTGGCATGCCGGAGGGGGATCCATGGCAAAACTCCCATGGAAAATTACACAGTTGATGCAGAGTCTGCTTTTAATTGACACCTGTCCTAAGGATCCCTGATACACACTGACACAGAGCAGAATAGGGACTGTTCCTCCTACATAGGGTCACTTGGCAGATATGGATTGACACCTGTCCTAAGGATCCCTGATACACACTGACACAGAGCGGAATAGGGACTGTTCCCCCTACATCGGGTCACTTGGCAGATATGGATTGACACCTGTCCTAGGGATCCCTGATACACACTGACACAGAGCAGAATAGGGACTGTTCCTCCTACATAGGGTCACTTGGCAGATATGGATTGACACCTATCCTAAGGATCCCTGATACACAGTGACACAGAGCAGAATAGGGAATATTCACTAAATGCCAAACATTGTTATACAGGGGAATATTCAGTAAATAAGGATAAGGGGGGACCTACTGTCCTCCCCCCTGCCCCCACCCATGAGCGGTGGGTGGGAGCCATAAAAATAATGAGGGGGGGACCTACTGTATGATGTTGTATCGATCAGGTAGTGTAAGGGTTACGCCCGCTTCACAGTGACAGACCAAACTCCCTGTTTAACGCACCGCAAACAACCGCGAACAGTCCATTTGCAAAACCGCAAACTCCCCATTTGCACAAGGTTGGATACCAAGCTAGCCATGTCCCGTTCCTTGTCCTCACTGATGTCATTGAAGGTCTTTTCCTCCACCCAGCCACGTACAACACCAAGGGTCCCCGAAAGGTGACAACAAGCCCCCTGGGATGCCTGCTGTGTTTGGTCTTCCACCTCCTGAAAGCCACCTTCCTCCTCTGACTCCTCTTCTTCAGACTCCTCTCTCTGCGTTGCCTCTCTCTGCGTTATTATAAGGTGTGTTAAGTAGTACTATTCTTATCAGTTTAATCCCTGTTATGTGCCTTTTGTTTGGTTTGGTTTTTGAAGCCACAGTGCAGAACCAGAGGCCCGAAAAATTAGGCATGTACACATGCCTGAAAAATTAGCTATTGTTGCAGCCGCTGCTGTAGCAGCGGCCAGAAAAATTTATGTTTGTTTCCCAGGCAGAAAGTGCCCTAAAACAGTGTTCCCCAACCCCCGGGCCGCGGACCGGTATCGGTCCGTGGATCAAACGGTACCGGGCCGCCCGAGGAACTTTAATTTCACTGTGGCGGCCGAGGTGCAGAGCATTGCGCCCTCCCGAGCCTGCCCATTGTTACACTGATCCTCCTCCTGGCCAATCAGGGAGCGGGTCCTCCCGCTTCCTGATTGGCCGAAAGGCAAACCCCACGCCATTGGCTGAGGAGGAGGCGCCGCAGGAGGACTGAGGACTCGAGGTCGGAGATGCGGGGACTGAAGAGAAGCTGCCGTGAGGTAAGTGCACAGAGGAAGTGGGTGACAGTGGTGGGTGAAGGGAATCACAGTGTGTATTTTATGTCCCCTACCTAGTGGTTCTTGCATCATACATCTCTGCATTGAAAGGGGGCACAGTCATCTTTTGTGATTTATATATATTTCACAGTTATTTTATCTGGCGCAACACTATTTTATGTTTTTATTGCTTCCGATTGTGAGGTGTGAGCACCGTTAAGTGTATGCTGCCAGATTTGTGCACTTTATCTGATTTTTTCACTTTATATTAATATTTATATGGTTTTTTGATACACTGGTCATATATTAATAACACTGATCACATTTTTGCGCTGATAGTTTTTGGATTTACATTCGGATTTAGGGGACGTCTGGAGCTGAGCGGCTGCAAGCAGCAGTGGAGTGAAGAGAAAGAGAAGGTATCACTCTTCTAGCTCTTCTATCTGTTCACCGGTACTCATGTGTGTACTGACGTGTTATTGTGTCTGCTTTAACCCACAAATTAGCAAAAATGAGTATGAAACAGACATCGTCAGAAAGTTTCCTTGGGAAGAAAAAAAGGCCCAGTGAACAGACAGAAGAAGAGCCTTCAACATCAAAGAAACATGCAACTTTTAACAGACAATACCATGAGTCCTATTTGAAATATGGATTTATCGGGACAGGTGATTCACACGCACCAAAACCGCTCTGCATAGTTTGCGGCGAGAAGCTCTCTAATGAGGCAATGAAACCTTCAAAACTGCTTCGCCACTTGACCGCCAAGCACCCTGGCATAAAAAAGACAAGCCCCTGGAGTATTTTGAAAGAAAAAAAAGGGAGCACGAAGCACAGAAGAAATTTAGAGAGCATCATATTTGGTGGCTAACCGCATTGCTAAGGCTAAAAAGCCATTTACTATCGGTGAAGAATTGATCTTGCCCTCCACTAAAGACATTTGCCGTGAACTTCTAGGAGAGGCTGCTGTGGAAAAGGTAGCACATGTGCCTTTGTCAGCTAGCACTGTGACTAGGCGCTTTGAGGAAATAGCCGAAGACACTGAGGCACAATTGTTGGAGAGGATTAATACATCACCGTGGTATGCACTCCAGGTTGACGAATCTACAGAGATCGACAACAAGGCACTACTACTTGTTTATGTGCGATATCTATATCAGGAGGATGTGCATGAGGATTTGTTATATGCACTATCTTTGCCAACCAACACCACAGGAGCAGAACTGTTCAGGTCACTGGATGGTTATATATCAGGAAAACTGAAATGGTCCTTTTGTGTCAGCATATGCACAGACGGAGCTGCTGCCATGACGGGACAACTGTCTGGTTTAACTGCTCGGATTAAGGAGGTTGCACCTGAGAGTGAATCTACACATTGTCTCATTCACAGGGAAATGCTGGCAAGCCGAAAAATGTCACCGGAATTTAACAGCGTATTGATGGATGTCGTTAAAGTTATTAACCACATCAAAGCACACGCACTTAACTCGCGCCTGTTTGAGCAGCTTTGTGAGGAGATGGACGCAGAGTACAGATGCCTTCTCTTATACACAGAAATAAGATGGTTATCCAGAGGAAAATCGCTAACCAGAGTATTTGAATTACGAGAGCCATTGCAAAGATTTCTCTCAGAAAAGAAGTCACCGCTGGCAGCACATTTCAGTGACAAGGTATGGGTCGCAAAACTGGCTTACCTGTGTGACATATTCAGCCTGCTCAATGAACTCAATCTGGGCCTTCAGGGGAAAATGACAACTGTTTTCAAGTTGTCAGACAAAGTAGCTGCATTTTAAGCCAAACTGGAGTTGTGGGGACGGCGCGTGAACAGAGGCATTTTGGACATGTTTCAGACATTAGCGGGGATTTTAGGCGAGACTGAGCTTGAATATTCATTCTGCCAGTTGGTGCACGATCACCTGTCTTTGCTTTTAAAAGAGTTTGAGTGCTACTTCCCAACCACAAAAGACCCACGAACTAGTAAGGAATGGATCCGCGACCCATTTGCCAACAAATCAGGCGAATCTAGCATGTCTATGCAAGAAGAAGAACAACTGCTGGAGATTGCAAATGACGGTGGCCTCAAAACTACGTTCGAGACAACAACTCTGCCGGTGTTCTGAATTAAAGTCATGGCGGAATACCCTGAGATTGCCACCACAGCACTTAAATCCCTATTGCCATTTCCGACAACCTATCTGTGTGAAGCGGGGTTTTCTGCAGTGACAGTAACCAAAACAAAACAGCGGAATAAACTGGACATAAACAACACACTTCGGGTGTCATTGTCTCCTATTACCCCCAGGTGGAACTGTCTCGTTGCAAAGAAACAAGCTCAGGGTTCTCATTGATTTGGCATTCTAGTCAGTTAAATAAAATAAATCACTTTATATTAATTTTTGGGTGTAGCTGTATTTTATTTTGAAGGCATGTTTAAATATATCGCCCACTGTCAGTCCCGTCGGGATCCATCCCTCATTCCTCCTACTTCAAATTTGGGGCACTGCACGTGCAATCTAATGTGCCACCAGATAGGAGTGGTGTGTTAAGTAGTACTATTCTTATCAGTTTAATCCCTGTTACGTCCCCCTCATCAGGCCTTTTTTAGTCGAATGTATCGCCCACTGTCAGTCCTTTCGGGATCCATCCCTCATTCATCTTAATAAAGGTGAGGTAATCTAGACTTTTTTGACCTAGGCGACTTCTCTTCTCAGTGACAATACCTCCTACTGCACTGAAGGTCCTTTCTGACAGGACACTTGAAGCGGGGCAGGCCAGAAGTTCTATTGCAAATTG